TAGAAAAAACTCAGCTTCAAAGATTTCATTAGTGTTATAGATATTTCAAAAAGTGTATGTTTAAATTCGTAGGTTCGAGTTTCGTTGTTGGAGAAGAGACTAAAGACTAATTAAAATTATTAATCTGCTCTGGCTTTCCGTTCAAAGGAATTATGGACCGAAGGTTCTGAATCTTTGGTTACAATATCGAGTAGAAAAAGTTGTAGAGAGAGAGTCTCATTGAAGTTATAATGAGTTTGATTTTATCCAAACATTTTTTTTACTTAACGACCACGATGAATACCATTACACATTCTGAAACAATAGTTTTCTTTAAAACAAAAAAAAATTTCTCTTCACTTTTTCTTCGATGGTTTTTTGGTCTTATATAACAATGGAATACCAAGTTTAGTTGTAAAAATGATGTGTAAAAATGGATGGTTGTGGTCTTGGCAATTGGCACAAGAGTCCCTGCCACGGCAAAGGGTGCCGTTTGATACATCTCCATCTGAGCAGGTGTTCGAAAACAGAGTACTCTGTTATACCGACGCAGCTTGGGACAGAGAGAAGACACAGGCGGGGTTAGGATGGCACTTCAAAGAGACGGCCGAAGGACAATCGGAAACTTACTCCGAATCATTTCTCTCTGTTAACTCGGCTTTAGCAGCCGAAGCCTGGGCAATGATCAAGGCGCTCAAGAAGGCTCGAGAGAAAGGAGTGGAGAATTTACACGTCTTCTCCGATGCACAAGTTTTAGTTAACTTGGTAAGCAAGCAGGAGTCGAACACGGAGATCCACAACTTACTCTTCGAGATACATATGTTAGCTTCTCACTTTAGGGAGCTTTCTTTCTCTTTTATTTCACGAGATGCCAATATGTTGGCGGATTCGTTAGCTAAACGAGTTTTAATGGCTTGTAACTTGTCGATGGTTTCGACGTAAGAAATAAAATTTATCCTTCTGACCAAAAAAAAAAAATAGATGGTTGTGAGATACAACCCATCTTTTAGTGGATGGATACCGAT